GGAAGAGAGAGGATATGTACGGGTTTGAACAAGAGATGGAGAGAGTCAAGTGGAGATGGTAGTGTTTTGGAGAGTTAGTGTTTGGGACTTTATTGTTGGTGATTTGGAGGAGTCGGTATGCGATTGATTATTTTCGGACGTATTGTTTTGGTGTTGGGATTTTGTATTTTCGTTTTCTTGGTTTTGATTGTGTTTTGGGATGAACTGGTATGAGAAGGATGACTATGATGTTTTCCCGGAGCATGACGATGCATACAAGCAGGGGGGCTATTCGATATACTCGTAGCATAGCATGGGGGTGGTATATTGCGTATACATATGCGGGATTTGCAGTTATGAACTACGGAGGAACAAGAAGTTTCATTATGTTTTCCTTAGGAGTGTGGTAGATTGGTGGACATTCATGGAGATTCNTGTTTTCCCGGAGCATGACGATGCATACAAGCAGGGGGGCTATTCGATATACTCGTAGCATAGCATGGGGGTGGTATATTGCGTATACATATGCGGGATTTGCAGTTATGAACTACGGAGGAACAAGAAGTTTCATTATGTTTTCCTTAGGAGTGTGGTAGATTGGTGGACATTCATGGAGATTCGTTTTGGGTGTTTCAGCGTTATGCGGGACTTGATGCCGTGATGGAATGACGAGCTCAAGCACGCCCCCGATGTATACAACACGGATACAAGACGTTTTCCAACACGTCTGTACGACTTTACCTACCCCTACGGCCCGTCATGGCCGAGCTGCTCCACACTCCCATCACACACAACTGAGCCACCAGAATTATCGATCAGACGTACCATTACAATGTATTGCTGGTTGGTGGCCATGTTTGCGTGTTTGCTTGTCGTTAGTGGTCTTTCCACCGTGTGCCTTTTTCTATCTCTTATGCATATTTCTTGTTATTTTCAGCCTGGTCACTTTTTGTCCTCGCTCTTTTTCGTTTCATTTTCTCTTTCCTTACTGTTTCCTATTATTTTCTTCTCTTTTTCTCTTTTTCTCTCGTTTTCTGCGCCAGGTGGCCTTGTCTCTGCGTGCGTTGTGAAGTACCAAGATTGAACCAATGGGGTGTACCTCTTTCTCTCCGGCCCGTGATGGTGACGCCTAGTCTCAGTTGTTACCTCGCATAGCGCGCAGAGGGAGTGGAGGACTCCAGAATATCTGTCGTTGATTTGTATTGACTTGCGGACCCCTCGGGGCCATTTATTTGAGTGTTCCTTTTTAGGGTATGTTTGCCTGCGACCACGGGAATCGACGGCGTCGAGTGTTGGATCAGTACGGACATACGAAGGTACTGGGTAGCGGGAGATCAGAACGGTTATTAATGTTAAGACAATAACAATATGGAGCCCTCTACTCTGGGTGCGCGGAGAGTCTGGGGTTGTGGTGGCTATGTCCTGCCACCGGAGGTTGGGTATTTCCTTTGCTACAATGCGGCGAGGGATACCAAGCGTGACCGAGCGAACTCAGTCAAGCTAGGGTGGTGCGGAGAGTGGGCGAGCCTTCGTGGACCCATTTTCCCATTCTCCTAAAGATCCATCAACTCTTCGCAGCCGTTGGGAACCACAACAAGAGTTGTGGACCCTCGGATATCAGCAATCTAGTCTATTATCACACATTCCCTCAGATCCTTCCTGTGTACGTGGGTGTATCTGTGCTCCCTGAATCTCCATATCCTGACCTCCACAGGTGGTTGCTAAATTTTGCGTTATCTTCTTGTCACTGTTCCGGTGTCGTGTGATTAATTACAGCGGTGTCGTACGGGAGAGGAGCGGGTACAGCTAGTACAGAGCAGGAGCGTCGCGACCACACACACGTTCCTCGCCTCCGATGGTGATCTATTTCCTCCGATGGTCGCTGGTTCCTCCGAGACGAGACCCATGGCTACGGCACTTCGTGCTTTCGTGGATTATGGCACCCCTTTTCACCGTTTCGCCAGCAGCTGCTTGCTGGCCGAGGGATATTTATCCTCCATTTCGTCGGACGGATCGATAATCTTCCCAACAACGAAAATCATGTTGTTGTTGTTGTTGTTGTTGTTGTTGTTGTTGTTGTTGTTGTTGTTATTGTTGTTTTCCTTCTCATTACACTCGTGTCAGTTGCTAATCCCAAAATCTAGCAAAGACTCGGTCCGTGGTCACAAAATGGCTAGAGCCATCAGAAGATCTAAAGAACACAAACACTATCAGCAAGGAAAGGGTACGCAAGCCCGAAGAGGACGTTTGCATGCTCACAACTGAACTACACGCCCACACACTACTACTACTGCCCCGGTGGTGGTCTAGTGGGTAGCCTCGCAGCCTGCTAAGGGCCAGGTCATGGGTTCGAGTCCCGGCAGAGAGAGTTTTTATCTCACTAAATAAATCCTGGTCTAGGATGAAAGCGACGCGCTGCAAAGCTCGTTTGTTTGTTAGTAAACCATAATCGACTTCGTAAGTCGCGAGGGAAGGGATTGCTGTACCCTTCTCGCGATCAAAATACCTCAGGCATGAACCGCAGGAGGGGGTCCAACCCCTCCCTCCTATGTGACCCTGGTTGGGTCGTCTAGCTAGTAGCAGTGGAGGATAGGGGCCAGAGGGGCAGACGACAGAGTCCAATGATGGGAGAAAAACAGAACAAAAACTACCAATCGACGACAGCAGCAGCATCACCCCCCTTGTCCCGCATTTCACCAAAATGCATGTTTGTCGACTACAGCGTACTGCTGTCTGAAGTGCTGTCTGTACAATAATAACACCAGTGCATGGTTCACAAGCTCGGGGCATGGAGCTGCTGTCTGAAGTGCTGTCAGAATGAGTCCGTGGACATACAATGAAGAAGAACGCCCAACCAAAGCCATCATTGCAATTGACAATCACCCGACTCTATCCAGATCACCTGTGTTAGGCACAGAAGCGTAAACATCGACACTGACTCATGGGGTCCAATCGAGTCCCTGCCTGGTCTCTCGAGGGAGGAAAGCATGCCTACACGACGATATACATGTAGAGGGTCCATGCGCACGAAGCGCAGAGGTTGTTTAGTCTTGTCTCCAGTCTCGGGTCTAGACAGTCACGGTTGTCCCGTTTGGCCCCGTTCTCGATTGCGCTTGGAGCGCGACCCACCTGCAGAAAGTTCTGTTTTTTCCTCTTGGACTCTTGGATTATCTGGACTTTACTGCAAGTGTACTAAACCCATTCCAGAAATATTTTCTCAGAATATGATTGCAAGCCAACGACGGTATCCAGACATCCCGAGCCGGCTTCTTGACTTTTTCAGCACGAAGCCCACGTAACACTAACACACCTCCACAGCCACCATCATCGACCCCTCTACACCCAACTCCACTTCTACAACTACTTCCCCACCCTCCGGAGAGAGAGAAAGAGAGAGAGAGAGAGATGTGCAATACTGCGGTTCTGGCCAAGATGCGTCAAGTCAACAACAAAAAGCCGTCATGCTTCAGGCGACAGCGCAGCGCCGCTGTGCCTCACCATCAGGAGCACCGGAGAACCAAGTGCGAGCGAGAGGCCCAGCGCACGGCCGGGCGGCCTGCCAAGAGGGTCAGATTCTCCGCCGACGAGTGCGTGCTCGGCAGGGCGCAAGACTACGACAGGACGAGCTGCGAGGTCCAGACGCCGCTGGTGAGAAGGCGAATTATTCCTAAGCGACCTGGCCCCGTCATCATTCCTAGCGACCAAGAAGGGAAGCAGCAGCAGAACCAGCAGCCACACGAACAGCAACATGCGAACTTCTGCGGCATGTGGAGGCGGAGCCACGGCTTCAAATGGGAGTCGCTCCTGGAGTTCTCGGGGGTGGATCAGGCTGATGTCGCTGAACAGGTAAGGCTCTGCGAGCTTTCGCTCTCGCCGCGATCGGGCGTATGGTGTGGTGGACCGTTCAAGGATACGTTCAGCTGTGCTCTCTTCGTTGGTGTTCTATGTTCTCAGAATGTGCGCTACAACCTCTGACTCTTTGAGCGGGGTACAGACTACTGCTGTAGGCGCTTGTGTGGCT